TGATGGCTACCTCTGATTGTAATATCTCCTGGAGTTCTTGGTTAATTTGCTCTAGCTCGAGTTCTTTATCCGTAGCTAATCTATAAGTTATTTGATTAGGGGGTCGTGGTCTACGAAATGCCATGTTATTACGAAGTAATAAGACTTTGTCTCTATTTTTTACGGCATATTATATTGACTTATCTCTGACTTTGCTAAACATATTTTTTACTATAATAAATAATATCGAAAATGAGTAGGTCCTTAGACCATGCTTCGCATAAATTGAGCAAACCTATTATTAGAATCGATCCAAATGAGGAGTTAAACTTAATCTGTAAATTGCTTTTTTACCAGCCTACTGGCTACCATGCCAATTCTAGAAAATTATATAAAGACATCAAGAAGGAAAAGTACCAATTTCCATTCAAAAAAGTGCATAACTGGCTTATAAACCAGAATGAATGGCAAAAGTATGCTCCGTCACCGAAAGATACTCCACGGGTTAGTTATGGTAAAATTCAAAAACCAAATTGTGTACATCAGTGCGATCTCTTATTTCTTACGTATGATTACTATAAAGATAAAAAATGAAAAGCAGTATTACAAATTATAGATGTGGGTAGCAGGTTCAAGGTAAGTGTTCCCCTAACATCGAAGAATAGTTCTGAAGTTGCTAAAGCATTTAAGAAAATTTATGATAATCCCAATAACCCTCTTACGTATCTGACACTTCTATAATGTGACGGTGGTAAAGAATTCATGGGTGAAACTGCTCAATTAATGGAAGCGCATAATGTCACAATTCGAGTAATTGGTACTTATAGTCATCGTGGATTAGCTCTTGTAGAATGATTCAATAAGACGTTAGCAGAGATGCTTTATAAAATTCAGTATGCCATTGAATCAATATCTAAAAATCCTAAATTAATAAGAAAGTGGATCAAGTATTTGCCAGAAGTAATAGATTATCTTAATAATTATCTGACATGTCTCATTTGAGCTCCAGGTTCATCAAAATGGGGTTTAGCTCCAGCAAAAGCTATTAAATTGGAACAAGTAGAATCTAGACCATCTACAAAGTATAAGCGTCCTATAGGAAAGGATGAGAAAAATAAGTTAAAAAAGGGTGATAGTGTTCGCTATCTGCTTGCTAATGCAGAATGGGAAGGAGATATGAAGAATCAGAAAAGAGCCACGGACCCCACATTCAGTCCAAGCATTCATAAAATTTGAAAAATTATTGTAACGAAGAATGAGCCAATTTTATATTATCTCGGAGATGATAACGATGAATATCCTCCAAAGTGTGAGTTTGTATGTGAAGAGCTCATGCATATAGATCTAGAAAAACTTCAGTATCTGCTCCAGAGTATATTGGAAGAAAATACTCATTCCAGGTCTGTTAATTTCATTCGTATTATTAATAAAATAACTAAAGCACAACAATATGCCAGGAAGCATGGTGGATATTGTATTATGAAAACTAACCAAATAAATGATTTCGATGTATATCTCTGGTCCTGCGAAAATGGAAAACACCAGTTTGAGTATTCATTAGAAGTTTTAGAGCGGAAATTTGAGTGGTGCCCACTTTGTTCACATACCCATGAAAGAAGTTGTCGATATATTTTTGAGGATCTACTGGATAAAAAATTTTCACCATGCACACCAAAATTCTTGGGTGAATTGAGGCTCGATGGATATAACGAAGAACTAAAATTGGCGTGGGAGTATAATGGAGTTCAGCATTTTTATTGTAACAGTTTATATCACAAAAATCAAAATGACTTAGATAGTCAACAGATGTGTGATCAAAAAAAGTGGAATATATGCAAGAAGCAAGGTATAGATCTTATTTGTATTCTATTTGACTGTGATTTGCTTCCCTACATTCATACTATATTGATTGAAAAAGGATATCTATCTAATACAGATATTAAATAATTACAGTTAAGGAATAAGATCCAGTTCTCGAAGGATATCTGGAATTTTCTCAAATGGGTCTTCATAATACCAAACATATCTTAATGCTATTCAATTTTCTTCGCAGTGTTCTTCCTTGAGTTAATCCTGTTCTTGTTGTTTAATAAAATTATTAGGATCATCTTTATAAAAAAACTCGTGATATTTTTCATGCTGTATTCCTTGCACTTCAATTGCAAAACCATAATGATAATAAGGAATATCAAGTTGTAGTCCTGTTAGATGCTCTGATGTTTTTAAGAAATCAGGCTGACGATTTACTGACGGTGGTCCAAGATATTTTGAAGCAATATTATAATATATTTTTTCTCGCCTATACTTTGAACACAATTGACACTAAGAATTATGATTTTTAATAGATTTAAAACACGTGATTTTTATTGCGTCTTCTAAAGTTAATTTTCTCGGCATTTTCTATTAATCCCATGATATTTTAAATTGTACTTTGTCTCTTTGCAATAAAATACACTCATTGAAAAAACAAATTGTAAAAGAAAGGTTATTTATTGCATAAAGAATAAATTCACAAATATAAGTATCTATGTCGTATATTAAATTACATCCTCTATATCTCCCTGAAATTTTAACAGAAATTTTCTCATATCTTACCATTGATAAAGCATTATACCTGACCTTATTTGTCAACTGGTTGTGGTATTTATGCTCCGCCCCAATATTATGGAGAAAGACTGAATTTTCTGGTGATATGTGATGGAGAAAATTTAAAAAAGTAATGTGCGAAAAATATGCAGAGCGAGGAACAAAGTTCCATAAATCACATGCTCCATTTTTACTTCGACTTCATCTCTCTAGTTGTAAGGTTTCTAACGATGTGCTATATGAGATCGCTGGATCCTGTCCTAATTTACACTATTTAAAGATCAGATGGTACTGTGGTTTATCCAATAAGATCATTAGTAAAATCGCACAAATTTGCCATTTGGAATCTCTTGATGTATTACGCATTACGAGAATAAAAAAATGTAAAATGATTTGGTAAATACAAATATATGAAGGATATAACTTTATGTAAAATCGCTCATTTGAGTCCAAATCTACAATATCTAAAGCTTGGCACCCCTATTATAACCGATATATCATTGAGAGCAGTTGCGCACTCATGTATTAATTTACGTCACCTGAAATTGAATTATAATGAGAATATTACTGATGCATCTATAATTGAGATTGCACAAAACTGCTCATATTTAGAATATCTTGGTTTATGGAGGAGTAATATTACTGATGCTTCATTAAAACAGATCGATAAATTATGCTCAAAACTTCACACTCTAAGATTAATCGATTGCCCAAAAATAACTGATGAAGGTATATGTGTAATTGCTTCAGTGTGTCTGAATATGCAAAAATATAAATTGGAAGACTGTGAAGAAATTACTGATATATCAATTAAAAAAATTGCGCAATCTAATCCAAATCTTAAATATCTCAACTTTGTTGGGTGTCATCTTGTATCTGATGAGTCTATTTGCGATATAGTACAATCATGCCCAAAACTTGAACAGCTTTATCTTGGGGGTGCGACATTACTGATGTATCTATATTCGCATTAATAAATTTGTGTAATCTCCAGAAGCTTGATATTGAGGATTGCAAGAAAGTTAGCATAAATGAAATTATAACCTTACAAAATAAAAATCCTACTCTTGATATTGTTGGTTGGTATTCAGATACGAATAGTAAGTCGAGTATATCATTATAGTGGAGCTAGTATCTCTGACATATAAAAAATGATCCAATGTCTTTAAGTATTAAAAATCATTATTTTCAGATATAATAATTAGTGACTTATCCGATTAGAATGAAAATAAAAAAGCTCGATCCACTCGAAAAGCTTGTTCTAAATATAGACGAATACAAAAATCCAGAGAAATATAATAGTAAGAATTCGACTCCTCAATGGTCCTTCACATGCTTAATTTCAAGTCGGACTAATACAGGAAAATCTACTGAAGTTGTTCGTCTTTTGTCTGGGAATAAACTATATAGAATGTTTAATGGTAAAAAAGGAGGTGTTAGATATATTAAGTGTGATGATGTAATACTTATTGAACACCATCTCAAAGAACCTAAATATATGTACCTTAAATCTGTATATCAAATAATCGCAAATAGTCCAGAATCGCATCATGAAGATATTACATTTCGGGCTATGAAGCCTGATAAAATCCCAAAACTAGATTCATTCTCTCCAGAAAGAGGTACAGTGACTATATTTGAGGATGTATGCACCGAATCAAAGAAAATTCAAGAAAAGATAATACCTTATTTTACCGAAGGATGCCATTCCAATGTTTCTTCGATATACATCTCACAAAGCTATTTTGACTGTCCAAAACTAATAAGAAAAAACTTAAAATACGTTGTACTTTTTAATGGCTCTTGTACCTCAGATGAGTTAAGCAGAATACTTCGTTTATATGTTAACGACTGACGCATTTATTATAAAATTATTAACAAGCATTTATGTGAACAGAAATTTATTGTCTTTGATCTAAGTGTACCTCCCGAGCATCCGTATAGAATACGTGTCAGCTGGGATAAAATTTTGACATTGATGAATAAACCAAGGTTTGTCAATCAAATAATTATTTTTTTCATTATTTATTAATACAGCAATATAAGTACATCCTACTCACCACTTCTACTAAGAAGCTGATCGTCTCCAGCCGTGATTGAAATTGGATGAATGTTTTCAATATCTTATTCACTACTATTCTCCAATGAAATAGCTATCAGTATCCAGCCTGATTGAGGTTGAAGTAGATGTTAAAAAAATAATAAATTCTGTAGTTTATTTGTACTGAGGGAGTTTTTGTGTCGGGTAAAATAAATGTATATAGAAATCAAAGACGCATTTCTCCATAAACTGTCTATAATAATTTATTCGATTCTAATAAATGGCGGGTATTTATTATCAATATATAATTCAGGATTTTGTATCCACTTTAACATTACATACCATTGCCTACTATTGATTACTCTGTATCCTTGTTGTCCTAATAAATTTAAAACGTGATTATATAATCTATCTTGTAATTGGTTTTTCTTTCTACCTATCCAATCGTATGAAATATAATATTCTTCATATTTACTATTATGAAAGAAACTAAGCATTTGTGGGTTATTACATCTTTTATACATTGCAATTCGCTCATCTCTCCACTGATTGAATTGATCTCGAGTCTGAGGATTTTTCACTTTACGTCTCATCATATTTTGCGAGTGATGAGAATGGGAGAGATCCATATTGGGTTATATTTGCAAAAATCTTTACTTAACCCGTGATGATCAGACCTTCTTTGAGGTATCAGACGACTACCCAATCAATTATAATGTGTTATTCTATATCGGGATAATCGTTAGTTCTATTTCAGGCGTTGGGTGTATTACAAGCATATGATTTAAATTCCAGTGATATGGATGTATGATATTCACCGTTTGGGATCGCCCGGTCCGAGATCAACAAATCCGAGATGTGTTATTATATTAATGAAATAGCGGAAACCGTGACAAATTTGTCACGATCAGACTATGTATATCTGTTAACTCATAATTAATATGTAATATAGGCACGATGAAGGCACGATGTTTTTTTTTCTTATAAAAACGTATAGAGATATTATATCTCAGTTGAACATCCGTTGAAATTAAATTTTTGTGATGTGGACCGATGATCAACTGCGCCTACTAATTGATGAAAGAAAAAATCGAAATGCGGAGTATTACAATATTCCCGGTAGTAGCAGGGCGGAATTTTGGAATAGCATAGCAAATACAATCAACACACGATTTCGGACCACCTATACAGGACAACAATGTAATAATAGATTTCAAAATCTTGTTAGAGATTACAACGTAAGCGTTAAACTCTATATACCACTTTAACTTTGACACTCCGCATGATTGCGGAGCCTTTTTTTCCTCCTTATATCTCGGAAAACAGATGTATATATTTTTATATCCCACTGACTGTATATCTGGCTTCGAGTGAGAAATCACGAGAAGGCGGGGCACGTAATATTTCTAATGTACTTTCATATTGTCTGTGCCTACTTCGCTGAAACTTTTTTTAGTCGATGTGCCAGTACATAGCTGGGAGTAAAACCGGAAAGAGGAGCAGAGCAGGTGAACGATATTTTGAAGAATTTAATTCTCATTTTTGGGAGAGACCTGGTAAGTTCACCTATGATATAATCTATCACCGTAGTAGTAAATATGTGTCTTCGACACCAGCTTCGCTATATAGATAACTCATGAATTTGCCTCGTATATTGAAATATAGAAACCCCATTCGACATATTGCATAATACAAACACATCCACCAGAAGACGTCACCGTAACCGTACCCCGCCACCAACTTACGAAGTGTCATCAATTCTAAGTATGAGTCGCCGTGAATCCATCACCAATCAAAGAGGTCGATCCGCGTCTCCAAACCGAAGAACTCCCAGCAGAAGAGACGAAACTACCAATCGAGATAATGCGAATAATACAAATAATGCGGGTGGAAATTCAAGCAATAACACAAATAATATGGGCGGAAATCTAAATAATGCGACATACTCATCTTCATCTGAGTTAGCAAATATGACCTCAAACCTTAATATAACTACATCACGGAATAACAGTGATCTTAGTATGCCTGATGTTGTAGATAGTCAGCCACCTCAAGTGGAATCTATAAACGAGGAGGGGGGCTAGATTTCGTCCTGCTATGCAGAATTTCGTTTGAAAAGTAATAGCGGAGCTAGTGTCTCTGACACATAAAATTTTAGCACTTTTGCCAGATGTTCGATCAACACATCACATGCGATCACCCGGAAAATTTTCTGCCGAAAAGTAATGTGATACACGCATTGTGCAACCGAATACATTTCTCACATATACCCATGCCTTTTTCTTATGTACCATTCCGCAGTCTACCAATAACATTCCACGAAAAAATCATATATAACTCGAAAATGTCTGCCACTTCAACTCCAGCTTCCGCTTCTAATAATGCAACCGAAGAAAAGCAGGCTCCCACTTTAGCCGAAGTGGTCAGAAAGTTGGACACAGAAAAGCTCATCGAATTTTTGCGTGGGGAAGAAGACTTGCAACTCAACGATGCTCATTTCGAAATCTTACGCAAGCGGGAGATCGCTGGTCGTGATTTCCTCAAGATGGACAAACAAGATTTCAGAGATTGTGGGTTAGAAGTAGGGCCTGCGATAAGACTTGTGGACTTCGCCAAAGAGGTTAAGGAGAAAAAATTGAGGGCGTTTTCGACATATCGTACTCTGAAAGATTTTAAAGAAGTATTGGCGAATTATAAACTCGGCGATAGTATATCAAGCATTCCACAATTTGAGCCGGCTACCCATAAACTCAATGACGACAATGAAGCACTTATACATTGTATAAAGGAGTTACGTCTCAGATTAAAAAATTTAGGAGGATTAGCACCTGATAGCAACGAAGCAGTGCGTTGTGAATTCATAGCACCAATCCTACACGCATCAGTTAGCCTTATCGAAGGCCTCCTCCTATCCCCCCAATTCGAAGTCGTAGGTGATGAAACCACTGGCCGAGTCGATTACACCATCAAAAAACTTTTAGATTCACTGCGAGAGGAAATCGTCTGCATCACGGAAGGGAAGCAACATCAAGTAGCAATCGGCTTTTGCCAGAATTTACTTCAGATTGAGAGCGCGTGTCAAACGAATAAGAAAAAGCGTAAGGCGGGAGAAGCATTTGCCAACGAATATGATTACATGTATGGAATTGTTACTACTGGTAAGGCATATTATTACATTTTTTTTTCTTCCGATAGATGTTTGCTAATTCATCTCTCGATTTTAGCAACGGAATGGTACTTCATTCTGTACACCACTGAGGGAATTTATTGTACGAGTGAAACCGATTACCACATCAGTTTCAAAAAGTCGGCTCTCGATAATGAAGACGAATTACGACGCAGTGTGAAAAGGGTAATGGAGGTAATTGTGGGTTTGCTTGAGGATAGGGCAAACGCAGTGAATGAGGAGCCGTTAGCTAAAAAGCGTCGTGTTGATGATAGGCTCAACAAGTAATCACGGGCTGTACCCGACTTTGTAATTTATTTTTCATTAATAAAGAAACGAATTTTTTAACACGTAATTAATCACTTCTGAGATATGCAATCTCGTTAATAAAAGCAATTTCGGGTTCGCAAATTTAGTAAGTCTTTCCGAACGATTTAATATGTAACAATCAACACTAGAAAAAGTATATAGGTAAGGGAGACGAGAAATCAGGAGGAATTTTTTTCCCCAAATCCATACACTATGGTCTCCAAGCACTCGCATTGAATTTTCTAAAAAACATACCAGGCATTCTCAATGAGGGAGTCGACATCCCGACACTAAGCAACTGCCACAAATATAACGGGCAAATTTTATCGGTTCCACTTCGAGCATTCACGGTACTCTCATGTGGACATATACTTCATCGAACTTGCATTCAGGAAATTATCATGGGAACCGAAGCAAAATGTCCGGTATATAAACTGCGCATCGAAATTATCAAGGAGGAAGACGGCAGTGAAGTCTATGAACGAACACAATCAAATACTATGATAATACAAGACGATCAGAGTCCACCACCGACTGCACCCATACAAAGTCAGTCGAATCAAACCAACGACGAGCAAAGATCGAGAAACAACACCTCCGAATAAAGTACAAGGTTTGATAACCGATCCACACCCACTAAAGGCGAATCTGACGAAGTCGATGAGAATGAGATACCTGATGGATCATTGTCCCAAAGTTTGGCCCGGCTATACCAAAAAGCGATCAAAGCAGGAAAACTCGTGACTTATGCATATCAAGGGGAAATTTGGTGTTAGTATTACTATGCGGAAGGGTTTGAAAAACGGGTTAAAGAAATTATGAATGGTGACAATAGAATCGGTGATAGACAGGCAAGGTCTCAGGTATATAGTGAAATGGCAGTCCATCTTCCAAACATAACTAAGGACAATTTGCGAAAAAAGACTCAGAAGGCGAGAGCCATCTATACATTGTTTAGTCAGATTGGAGTGAAAAAAATCAGACATATAGTGCAAACACGATTTCGAATTTGACGGGCACACAAATCCAAAGTATTGTGGATAGGAGTTTTGACGATCGTGAATAGTTGTTCACGTAAACGTGACTTTGTGTTAATAAAGGTACAGCGAACTAATTACGAGCAATCAGAATGAAAAAACTTTCTCGAATATACTTTTAGTTGAATCAGCTGGTGGGAGAATCACGAACTATAAATTGTATATTAAATTTGCTTTCAAATTAATAGATTAGATATACAAATTTTTTGGACCATAACCACTAGCCGGATCCGTCAGATCTATTGATGCTGTTGTAAATTTGTTGTAATTGATTAGCAATGTCATCTGTTATAAAAGCATACGGTTTGCCGGGGACTTTGATCTGGTAAGTGTTATTTAAAACATCAAAACCAACCAGACCACAATCCACTGTGCGGGAAAGATACTTTTGCCAAACATATAATTCTTCAATCTCCATCCATTCCGTCCAATTCACACCATCCCCCAAGGAGACTTCCCAGGGCTCATCAATCTGAAACATTCGGGAGTTGGAACCGTAGCCACTAACTTTTATAGCCATGTCACTCCAGCCATCACTGTGCCCCATCCTTTCCTGTACAAACTTCGGTACAACTGTGTAAGTGGCACCAGTATCGAGTAATAGCCGATAATTGCGGTTTTTGACTTGTTCAATATTGGCCATTGTTGCTATAACATTGGGGTAGGCTTTGCGCCTAATACGCATGTGCACCTGATGTTTTGGCAAAAGCAATTTCCACAATGCAATCTTCATTATTATAGGTAAAATTGTGCAAACACAAACCTGCCACTCCTTTTTTGAGACACCTTCAATAGAAGAGAATCTCGCGTAGACCACCTTTTCTATAAGAGGCGCGTACAACGCTCCTGGACGCTTTGACCTGATTTCTTTGTATTCCTTGCCCGATGCTTCTGTTCCATAACCGACTATCTTTCCGTCGATGATCAAGACATGAGTACCTTTAGACGAATCAAATTGTCCAGCCTCTTTGAAGCGCCGATATGCAATAAGATTTTTTGCATATTCTTCTCCTTGTCTTCCCTCATGGGCAACAGAACCAAGGATGAGACAGCGCTCTGCGTTATCCATGGTAGGAGGCCAAGCAAAATCAGGACCAACGAATTCTGCGAGGTGATAAAAAAGGATATATGAATTAAAATTCAATCAAACTGGTCATATTTTTTATGTACCGTAAAATTTCTGTACATCTTTGCCCGTTAATTCATCGTAGTCCATTTGGTCGAGGCGCAGTTTTTTAACAAACTGTTCGAGATCTGCATCTTTAGGGTCATATTTTCCGAAAACAGGCTCTTTAGATATATCGAGCTTTAGCTTTTCAATAAATTCTGTTTCAAGATGAGGCTCAGATGTTTTATCATCTGTAAGTAGATGGGTAATATTTAACATCCTTCATTATAATATAATAACACTAGAAACTACGAACCAGTAACGAGGTTGACCGATTCAATTTCAGTTGAGCGAGACTTTTCAGATACTATGGTAGGGTAGCACATTAACACACTTCATTAGTATAAACGAACAAAGAATATTACTAGAAATTACGAGACACATACAACCCCCCAAGACTAAGTCTAGATAGGCATATTTCTCCTCATCGTCGTTGCAGGTACCGAAGGCTTTCTCCATTTTAGCTTCAGCTTCGCCATTTTCAGTGAGGTAGTAGAGTAGTGCAGACTTTTGCTTTATATTGAGTTTGAGGCGAGCAAGCTCTGCATAGATGCTCGTCATTTTGCCTGAGGTGGTGGTGTCGACATGTTAATATACTTTAGTGGTATAAATAAAGAAAAACTACGAACCAGTAGAGGAATAGGACGATTCAATTTCAGAAGTTTCAGATGTGCTTTTACCACCTGTAGTGAACTGGCTTTTACTACCTGTAGTGGACTGGCTTTTACCACCTGTAGTGAACTGGCAATGTTAATACCTGAATGCATTGAAAATTCTAAAAGCGCTACAACCTGAAAATTTCTTGACCCATTTTGGCTTGTAAGACTTTTTTGACTTGGGGTGGTGCATGGTGTAATAAACAAAGCGGTGGCTCACGCCACATTTTGTATCATGTAGATCCTTATATCATCATTGATCGCATACTTTATCCCGTGCTAATTGATTCCGTCATTTATCCCGCGTGAGAAATTAAGTTATTTGCGTAATGTGCACGTGATATTTATTAACGCAATATTTTAATTTTGAATAATCTGCACTTATATAAAAGTTACTAATAAACATGTTATCAGAGCTTAAATCTCGATCCAAAATCGATTCGTTGCAAGAATTAAATTCGAAGCTCTTAGCCGAGATTTCTGAGCTTAGAAAGGAGAATGCTGATGTCAAGGCTGAGAATACGAAATTAAAGCAGGCTATGGAAGAGAATGTTGAACTTAAGAGCAGAATCGAGGAGTTGGAGAAAAATAGGACAGATACCCTGTAAAAAAAAAATAAAAGACAAAAATCAGGAAAAAATCCGGTTTTTTAGTTCCGGAAAATCACAGGTTTTGTAAACAAATTTCCGGATTAAAATC